CTTTTTCTATACCTCTCTCAACTTTCGAGAAAGCAACCCTTAAATAAAAAGCAGAAGAAAAGACTGAACCCAGCCGAAAAACACAGGAGGTTTGCAGGATCAGAGCCTTCTTATCTGTGACTGAAAAATACCAAAAATCAGGGAGGCTCCACGCATAACTTCTGTTATAAAAAAATTAAAAATAAAGGAACGCCAGAAAATAAAATAATTTGGCCAATCAAAAAAAAAAAAAAAAAAATTACACAAAGAGACTTTTGTTAGCTGAAACGAAGGTTTGCACCAGAATCCCAGAGCCTGGTCAAAAGGATATAAATCTGACACCTATGTGCTAGTAGCAGAACAGACGGAAAAAGAGGACAAAACAAAAGAACACTGCTGCTAGATAAACCAGACATGTGTAGCGTGTCGGAAAGTAGTTAAGTCGTCATCTACTAATGATATGTCTGCCCTGCTTAGGGTCGGGAAAAACACAGTAGATTGACACTGACCTATTTCTGATATTACTACTACCCCCTAATTGGTTTAACTTAAAAAAACTACACTACCGGAAATTTCTCCAGACTGCTACAAATATCCGCCTTATTAACAAACATTTTGCTATACCAGATACCAAAGAACTCACTCATCATGGTAAAGAAAATAAATAAAAATATTTGCATATACCCTCTTACTCCTTTGTTTTACATCCATTCGAATAAGCGTCACCAAGGATACTAACCCCACATAACCATACATCTATCAAACATCTATAATAAAGTTACTTTACATTTAATACCTTTCAGCTAACACACTTACAAGATAGCACAAAGCTCTTTATTAACATGGTGGAAATCGGTAAGAGATAAAACAAACACTTTTTGGATCTGTTCAACAGGGAGAGTCATGTGGATTAATTTGCTTTTAACCACCGTCAGCAAAGACCCATTGTGGAATCTAAAAAAGTAAAATAAATGTAGTAAAGCCACTAAGACACAAGGGATTGCTGAGAGTGATAAAATAAGAAAAGGAGACATATTATTAAGGAGCAAGAAGAATAAAATAAGCGGAATCAAGAAGACAGTAGATAACAACATTGCATTTAAATTTTTTAAAATCAAAGTTGCTGGAAAGCATGGAGCTGGAAAAGATATCCACAAGTGAGAAGTATGAGAAAAGGAACTGTTCATCAAGAATATGCAGCTGCATCTAGTGGAATCAACTGTAAATTGATGGGACCTTGTTGCCAATCTAGTACAGTGCTTAAATTCATAAAGTCTAGGTACGATAGCAGACAGACCTCCTCTCTTGTTTCCCAGCACATCCTGATAGACCTCCCCTATTCTTTCCCTGGCATATCCCAACAGACCTCTCCTTTTCTTTCCCCGGCTCATCCCGACAGACCTCTACTCTTGTTTCTTTTTCTCTTGTATTTCTTTTTTTCTCTGACATGATACAAGACCAACTCTTGTTTCCCTGCACATCCTGATAGACGTCCTCTCTTATATCACAGTGCATTACGACAGACTTCCCCTTTTGTTTCTTGGTACATCACAATAGACCTCCTCTCTTGTTTTTCAGCACATACCGACAGAACTCTCCTATTCTTTCCCTGGCCCATCCCAACAGCCCTCCCCACTTTTTCCCCCTGGCACATACATACCTCTACTCTTGTTTCTCTGGCACTTCTTGACAGAACTTACCACTTTTTCCGCTGGCACATCCTGACAGACCTCAACTCTTGTTTCCCTGGCACATTCCGACAGACCTCCTCTCTTGTTTCCCAGCACATCCTGATAGACCTCCCCTATTCTTTCCCTGGCATATCCCAACAGACCTCTCCTCTTCTTTCCACGGCTCATCTGGACAGACCTCTACTCTTGTTTCCCCAGCACATCCCAACAGACCTCTACTCTTGTTTCCCCAGCACATCCCAACAGACCTCCCTTCTTCTTTCCCCCAGCCCCTCCCAACAGACCTCCCCCTTCCCCAGCACATCCTGACAGGCATCTCCTCCAGAAAGGAGAAATGAATTCAACAGACCTCCCATCTTTTTTCCCAGTCCATCACAACAAATAATATTTATTCATCTCTTTCAAAGACTCCATTGACACATTTACTATAAAATTTTAAATTTCATACTTATCTTACACAATATCAAGTTTTAACTCCATCTGACACTTTTATGAGTTATATGCCCTATAATAGCAATTGATATAAAATCATGTGATTTCATTTTAAGTCAGTTATTAATTTAATAAACTTAAGCTTATTTATATCAATTTTCTTCTCCAGTTCAAACAGGTGTTTAGTTAAAAAATCTTTAATCAATATTATTCATTTATCTTCATCCAGAAAAAAATAATTTCTTTTTTTATTGAAATGATATCAAATTATCTAAATGAATTGAATGAGTAAAATTTATTTACACTATTTATATTCAGACTATTGTCCTCATCACTGATTTTTCAGATACAAATCTTACTATTTAACCCATAGCTGGAGGAAGAGATGTATTCATAGTCATTTGCATGTAGTAATGACTTTAAGTCCCCCCCCCCGGAATTAGCTTGGGATGAACTTGAAAGAAGAGTGGAAAAAAACGCTGTTAGAATCATTGAAAAAAATAATGGAATCAATTATAAAACTTATACTTTCAGAAACTTTTAAACGAATGCCAAAAATTTGTGCTGCAGTAATCAAGGAGTAAAGGAGGATATTTTGATGAGAGCAAAATTTAATCATAAAATGTTTTTCTTCTTTTTGTCATAATAAAATCATTTTTTTTTTTTAACCATGTATAATAATTTTCTCTTATTTTAAAGTACAAAACAACTACTTTTGGGGCTAATTTTAAAAATTACCAGAGATGGTCACAAACTTTTGAACTGTAGTGTAAGTGAATGTGTATGGTCTTAAGACGAGGAAATAACTGCAGGGTATGAGGATATATATCATATAGATAAAATATATGGTTTATACTGCAAATTAATGAAAAGATCTTAGTTACAGTTCCTGGGAGATAGTACATTACTTGGCATGATCAACAGCCTGAACACGCTCAATGCCTCGGTCATGATGACTAGTGACTTCATGCTAGCACAACCATCGACATCTCTCAAATAGTTCCATCTACCCAATTTGACTCAAGAGGCTTGGGTCAACCTGTGGAGTAGTTTTCAGGCAATTTCCAAAGGTGCCCCATGCTGAAATTGCTTCTCCCAGACCTTCCTGACAAAGTCACCTTCCTGATAAATCGACCATGGTGAGATTTGAATCTGGATTGTATGGTCAGAAAACAAACATTCAAACCACGTCAGTGCCTATTTGTTCACACACACACATATGCCATATGTGAAATATAGTATATATATATATATATATATATATATATATATATATATATAAGGCAGGATGTGTGTGTGTGTAACTAAATGCACAGCTGCAATTTCAGAAGGATTTGCACCAAAATTTACATGCATGCTCCAAGTTAGTTAGGAAGGCCAAAACCGACTTTACATTTCCCAAACTCCCATCGATAGTGGAAATAATCAATTTTTTCATGCTTCTACGGCAGTTTTCGTGTTTGGAACTTGTGAGAACTATTTTCTACTGGGCAGGAAGTGAGAGAGCCAAAAGCTGACTGACATGGTCTAATGTTAACTAGCATGAAAAAAAAATCAATAGCTGCATTCGTCACAAGTGGGAAAATTTAAATCTGCATGGCACTTTTTACTCAATTGGCTCATTCACTTGCTTAAACTCAACATTGATTCTGCTTCCCCAGAACTGGGTTGGATGTGAAAAAAAATTTGTTGTTAACATTAATTTTTCATTCGGTTTTTCAGTTACGAGTCCTTTTTTTTTTTAAATCTGATCATTTTGTGTTCATTTTGTTTTATTTCTTTTTTTGTCGTCACAGATTTAATGTTTAGTATAGAGCTTAGAAAAAATTGCAGTGTGAGATGGGCAAGAAGTAAGGCATGTAGCAACATCAGCATGGCAAAAGGCACTCCTTTAAAAAACAAGGAAGGGCAAAAATATTTTAAGTCAAGTGATAGCGATTGCTGTATAAGTCATACAATTTTTGAATCAAATCATGGGCAGGCCGGAGTTATGCTGCTAGTATATATATATATTTAAACTTTATTTACATCAAAGTCATATGTAAACCTATCTCTGCCTGTTCATATCTAAGACCATTCATATCTATCCCAGTTTGTTCCTTTACCTGTGTCATATATATATATATATATATATATATATATTTATGTATATATATATATATATATCCACAGCTCATTGAGGTGTGGCTAGACATACAATTTATTATCAAGTCAGGATCAAAATCCAACTGATTTGACATCAGTCAGAGACTCTCAACTTTTCTCCACACTACCGAGAATTTTTAACGCATTATATTTGAAATATAAGCATTACCAACTACTTGAGGGCTTAATTCCCATAATTTTCAGGCTATATATATATATATATATATATATATATATTCTAAATATATATGGTATATAATCCATTCTCCTCAATCTCTCCAATCCTATTAATACAATATAAAATATTAAAACTGATTTACACATTTAGCGCTCAATGTTTTAATTAAACAGAGCAACAAATTTCATACAACAGGAATTAAAATTTCAAGAGGTTAATGATCATTTTCAAAGACTAAAAAATTAAAAATAAAATTTAAAAGGATTTTTCAAACCATACAATGGATGATAATTTATTAAAATAATAATGGCCAAACAGAAGAAATATATATATTTATATATATATATATATATATATATATATATATATATAAATTTTAACTCTACAAATATAAAGTTTGTCACATAGCTGGCTAGCTATTTCTGTATAAGTATATATATCCATCTATCTATGCCTAATTCTTTCTTTCTATCTATCTATGTTACACTTCTTGCTGGTAAGTCCCTGGTCAGTACTGCCACTGACTGTTAGAGTTGGTCATTCTGATCTGTGTCCCACCTCGCTCCACCCTCATTGTGTTGAGAGATCATGGAGCTGGCAAAAATCGAATTGTCACCAGAATTTGTAGTGCTGGTTCGATCACAGCAAAGCTATTTTACAAAGGAAATATAAAAACTTTCTTGTAGATGGAAAAAAGAAAAACAGGAATTTCTTCAGGGTCTATTTCTATGCGGTTTATATTGTTCTTTGTACAGAAATATTAACACTTCACACTTTGAATTCTATTTCTTTGTTTAATTTAGCTAAGTCTGGAACAAGGCTTAATTCAGAGTTTCTCTCTGGCTGCATGTCACGTGGGATTTGGCAGAGTAGTCATTCTTGTCGTCTGCCCACTGGAACTAGCATCATTGGAACCCTGGTTAGATCACCCAAAACATTCTGCTTATGTTGTAATTGTTAAATAAACTGGTATGGGGTCAGGTGGTTAGGGTGCCAGGTGTTTCCTATCTTTTAACATAGGAATTTGTTGTCTTACTCTGAAAATTAATTATAATCCAAATTTAGGGAATATCTTTTTCCTGTTTATAAGCAATGGCTATAGGTAATCATCTTAACAATAACTCCTTCTTTTGTATTTGTGCCTTTAATCTCTAAATATTCCAATGGCCTCCTTTTTTTATCTGTCCTTGGTATTTCACCTAGGACGAATCACCTCAGTTTTAAAATTGATTTTATCTGTCTTCAAATTGTAAAGCGTGGCCTTATATATATATATTAGTTATAAATTTTTATTTAATTTATCATCATCAAATTTTTTCCCAGCCTGGTCTTGTTCATACAATCATAAACAAAAAGAATTTCAAATAATCCAATCTATCTCCATATCTATTTCTGTTTTTGTTTTAAAAAAAAAACATGGGTGTGTGTGTGTTTACATAAAGAAATTCTGGAAACTTTACTTGTTCTCCACATTCCATTTATTTTTCCCTATTTAATTCATATCCAAAATAATAACCTCATCAGTGTGGCTATATATTTGAAGTGCCTATAGCATCGGACCAAAACCTGACTGACGCCAATTCAGTTGAAAAAATACCATGGAATGTTGGCAAAAGCTCTAGATGAAGGTCCCTTTGGACAGTTTCGTAAAGATAAACATGCCTCTGCAAGAACTTGAACAACACTTACTTGATAATATTTTTTATTTAGCCGTAATAGTCACTGCTACTACCACATTTCTCATCAAGAGTTTCAACTCAAAATTGTTTTTTTGTGGATATATGTGTGTGTATATATATATATTTCGTATATATTTATATATATATATATATTTGATGTAGTCAAATAATCAAGATTTTTATAGCAGTGCTATCAATCATCTTTCAGCCCATAAACTCAATTCAGAAAGTCTTCTTGTAAGTATCAAAATAACAAATATCGTTTTTCTTTTGAACCATGTCTGCTTAAAAAAATAAACTTTATTATTAAAGGCTGTTACTGAGTTTTCTAATCAGTCACATCATTACAATTCTTTAACACTTATCTTTCCATTTGCATATTTTCACATCACTCCTCCATCTTCCCAAAATTCTTTCTTTCTTTTTTATCTTTCTTTTTCAAACTGTCCTTTAAAATCTATCTTATGTCTGTCTTTTATCTATTATTTTTTCTTTATATCTATTATTCTATCTATCTCAGTCTGTTTTTCATACCTATCTATCCATCGCTGCCTAATTCTATCTATCTATCTATGCTTAAGTCTATTTATATCTACTTATCTCAGCTTGTTTATTATCTGTGTCAGATAGATATGTATCCATCTAAAAATATGTATATAAGTGTTCTGTTTTTTACAAAATCCAAACTCAATGAATACTAAATTTTATTGCACCTGTGTCCTATCAATTTTCAATTTGTACGAGGTTTTCCTTATGTAATTGACGTCACAGACTAACTGACAAATACTGTTACACTTCAGATCAATAAGGACAGTAAACAAAGTGGAAAATTTTATTGAAAATCTAAAAACGCGTTTCAATGAAAAGATTTTAAAAAAGATTTAAATTTTAAGTTTTTTTGGAAATGTTTCCTGTTAAGAAGTACTGTCTGCAAAATTGTTAGCAAAAGAAATTTGTTTTAATTTAACAACTTTTTATATTGGGAATGTCAAAAACAAAAAGGTGTGGAAATTAAACTATATTCTTTATAGTGTGTTTTTGAAACTATTTTGTAGTAATAATATAAACCAATATTTATTTTCCAGAATTTCAATTTCTTTTTAGGAAACCTATATGTGTCGTGCCATTTTTTTATTACTCGCCAGGATTTACTCTGTGGTTTGTTTTTCAACACAGTTCATTGTTTAATTATTTATCACATTTTAGTCTGATAAATTATATATTGCAATTTATAAACAAAATAAAAAAAAAGAGATTTATTTATTTGTTTTTTTGTACTTTGGCATCCAGCTTTCAAGTTTTCATTTTCTGTAAATATGAGATGATAATTTCAGATAATTGGTACATTATTTTACTCTTTTTAAATTTAAGATCTCTAACCTCTAAAGAATATTTTCTATCCAAATCTTCTCTAATATCTATCTATCTTTCTTCTATCTAAAGTACTCACATAAGACATTGCCTCCAAATCCTCTATTCTTAAAAAAAGTATGTCATTGGTATCTTCTGTCTTTTAAATGTTGTAATTTTTGTGGTCCAAAACTTATCCATAAATTCATCTATCCACACGTCTACCATTTCATTATAAAACTATCTACTGGATGTCTAAAGAAATCAAGACTATATCTATTTAAACCTATCCAAGACTATCTATCTATCTCTATCTAGACTATCTATATCTATCTATCTAGATTTATTTCATCTCTATTCTTATTTGTCTTTAAAATCTGATAAATTCAAGTCTATAATCTATCTTTAATCCTATTTAAATAAAATCTCTATCAAACCTATCTATCAATCTAATCTAGCTAGATATTAATTATATTATGTATTCATATGTTTTCTATCTATCTTTAAATATTCTAATACACTATATATCTATATATATAAGATATATTGGAAAAAATATATCTATCTATCCCCTCTGGATATTAAATATATCTATATGATAGACAAATATATCTATCTTATTTCTTCTCAATCCTATATATCTTACTAAATTTATCTGCATTTGATAACTCTATAAGCATCTATCTATTTTTTTCTATCAGACTTTATCTAAAAATTATATCTGATCTCTTCAGTAACCGAACTTTTTTTTGTAAGAATTATCATTTTTTTATTCTCTAACATTTACGTATCTATTTATCTATTTTCTATCCCACTATTCAATTAGTTAATATCTTCTATCTTACATTCATATGTCATAATATTGAATAAATTTATCTCTAATGCCTTTACCTATCTATTTTAAAAGAATGGATATTTATTTCAAATTTATTTTCAATATTAATTTTATATTATAATCTATCTTATCTATCTATCAATCACCCTATCATCTATCATATTCACCATTATATAAAATTAGTTTATTGTTTAAAAACATCATTACTATTATCTATCATCTATCTATCTATCTTTACTTCTATCTATCTATCTATCTATATTGTTTAACAGAAAATATATATATATATATATATATATATATATATGTACATGTCTTTAAAATATGGAATAATTTCTTTTTCTCATAATCATTCATAAAACTTCGGTGCTGATTTATTTTTTCTTTTTTCAAAATTTATTTATCTTGTATATTCATCTACATCTTTCCCAATTAAACTGTTCTTGTTTATCTTATCTATCTATCTAAATTAAAATTTTTAAACATATCTAAAGATTCTATCTTTCTATCTATTTATCATCATAACATCATATTTATCTATCTATTTATCTAAATTATTTTATTAAATTATCTATCTATACTATGATTTATTATCATCAATTCTATTTAATATTCATTATCTCAAAATTAATTGTGTATTTACCCATTAAATTTTCATCATCACCTCTGTCAATTTCTTCATCTTTTGAATCTATTATTTTAAAAAGTTTATTATGAAAATTCTATCATCATCTTTTTACAAAAATACGAAAAAAATCTATTATCTATATAATTTAAATCAATCTTCATTTAAATTAGTTTGATTTTATCTATCAAAATTACCTGATCACTATTCATATGTGATATCATGTCATCTATCTAAAATATTTTGTTAAATCTATCTAAAAATTGCCATCATTTTATTATAAAATACATCTATCTATTCTTATATTATCTAATGTGTATCTAAAATTAGTTTTTTAAAAAATTGCCAATGAATTTATCTAAAATCATTCAAATTTTTTATCTCTCTATCTATTTAAATAAACTTACTATCTATCTATTTATCATCTATATTATCTATCAATATCTATCTATCTATCTATTATAATAACCTATTTATGTCTATCTATCTATCTATCTAAATTTTCCTTTATCTGTTTTAAATCTTCATTCTATCTATCTATTTCATCTATCTATCTATCTCGTCTGATAAATGTTCATCATATCTTTACTCTAAAATATCTATCTAATTATTCTTTACTTATCCTCTATCATTTGATCATCTATCCAAATATCTTCTATTGAATCTATCTAAATTAGTTTGTTACTTATCTATCTATCAATCTTTATATAAATTGCATATTCTAATATCTATCAATCAGTTAATTAAATATTCTCATAAGACCAAAAAATAAATGTTTAATTTATCAATATTTTTTGTTTATTTTATCTATTTCAAATATTTTCTTATTATCTATCAAAAAAATTGAAAAAAAAACGTGGATCTTATCTATTTCAATAAGTTTAATTTTTTGGCTAAAATAATTTTATTTTGATTAGTTAAAATCCATCTATTTAAAAAACAATTGTCTACAAAAAAGATTTTCCTTTAATGAATTCTAACATTGACTTCAAATTTTGAATGGGAAAAATTTTGGCCTTCTAATTTATCTCAATTATTTATATATCTAATATCGTATCTATTTTAATTTAACCCCCCAGATTATGTATTAATCTATTGTTTATCTATCTAAATTTATAATTATCATATTTATTTAAATTAATTTGTTAATATTTATTTGAAAAATGCATAAAATTTTTGTTTTTATTAAAAATATGCATTGTTTTCATATATCCATGCAATCGAATTTATCTATTTTTTTTTAATCATATATTATATCTATTTCTATCTATTTTCATATAAATTATTTTGTTAATATCTATCATTATTAGGATTCATCATGATTTCATTGATTATCTATCAAAAATTTATCTTCATCTAAAATTTTATTATTAAATTTTCTATTTTTCTTTTATCTAAATTTTTTTGTTTTAATAATCTATAATTTTAAAAGCTTATATCTTTTAAAATCAAAAAATTTTTATCTATTTCCATTTTTTCATTTTAAAATGATGCCATTTATTTACAAATTTTTGTTGTTCCAAATTTAAAAATTCATTTTTGAAATGTATTATTTCATTTATTTCAATTTTTAAAAGAATTGATTTTAATTCATAAAAATCAACATTTTTTTATGAATAGACTATTTCATCTTTTTGATTTTTGAGCCATGTCTAAACAGGTCAATTTCAAAATTATTTTTAAATTTCCTATTTTTTTTCCAGCCAATAAATTTTAAATGTTCTAAAATTCTTTTTTATTTCTTAAATATGTAGGTTTGTTTTTCTTTTCTGAAAAGAATTTTTTCCAGAAAAAAGTATGTCCTGTGATATAATTTTTTTTATCTTAAAGATTGGTTTTGTGTTGAGATTTCAAAAAGTCTTTTCTGATTCAAAAAAGATCCTTATAAATTTTGATTTTGCTAAAATATAATTCAATGTAAATTTCCAAAAATCTATCATTTCAGTTATTTATATGACAAAAATTGATTTGTATTGTATATCTTCAAAAAAATATAAATGTAAGAGGAAATTGTCTCAGTGAATTGTTTTTGCATCAGTTATTGTCATAATATTAAAAAGAACCATTTTAATCTTTTTATTATTTTAATTGAAACAATGTTATTACTGAATTTTTTATATTTTCTTCAAAAAATATTTTTCAGTATTTTGAAAATAAATAAAATTTTTTCCGGATTATTATTTTTCCCCTTTTTTTAAAAAACCATTTTAAAATTCAGAAAAAAAATTACTTTTTTTTTTATTCTTCATTTTGATCAAAATAAAAGTTTTCTCATTTAAAATATTAATGATTTTTAAAAAATGTGAAAAAGTAAATAATAATTTAAAAAAAAATTTTATTCTGTTTTTCTAGAAACAAAAATTTAAAATGTATGCAATTTAGTTTACTACATATTTGGAGAATTCCTTTTTTTTCAAAATGGATCAATTTATATGATAAATTTAAAAAAAATTTTTAAAATTAAAAGAAAAAAAAATTTAACCAGAAAATCATCAAACCTTAAAAAAAGAATATATTTGGTTTGAACTGTTCCAGGAATGAATAAAGATATAATATTTTATATTAAATTGATGATATCACCTCATATTATTGATTTTTTCATTCAGTCAAACCAATCAAAAAATCAAAAAATCATTTACTTAAACAACCAATCATTACAAAATATTAATATATTTTTCAAATTTAGTATTTCAAATTTGGCTTCAGATTTTTAAATTCTCTATGAAATATGTAAAAATTATTTTTTAAAAGGATATACGAAGATATTTATTTTTCAAACCATTAGCAGAAAAAAAAAAATCCAATATATTGATACAATGTGTTTTGATTTTTCTAAACAACTTTTTAAAGTTTTAAATTTTAACTGACTCAAATGGTTTAAATAAAATATAAAACTGCAAATTTAAAATTGAACTTTTCACCAGCAACCTTTTCTATTTATTTAAGGATTAATGATGAATTGAAGAACCTAAACTTTGCAAACATTAATATATTTATATAGAAATATTTTCAGAAATAAATATACAAAAATAGAAAGGGGCGTAAAAAGGATGCATCTTCTCATCTTCCTGTTAAAATATTCACAGCCAAGCGAGGGATAGATTCTTTTTTAGAAACCTAACAGATTAGCATTGGTGGACAATCAATATAAGATACGCAGATGACACAGTACTGATAGCAGACACGGAAAAGAAATTACAAAAATTATTCCTACAGAAGGTAGCAACGGAGAGTGAAAGAAGGACTAAGCATAAACTACAAGAAGACAGAATGCATGGTCATCAGTAAAAGGATGAGCCCAAAATGCGATTTGCAGGTTGGGGAACACTAGAATCAAGCAGACGCAGAAGTTTAAATATCTGGGAAGTGTTTTGACAGAGGACGGTAAATGCGACACTGAGATCCGTAGACGTATTGGGATGGCCAAGGACACATTCCAAAGGCTGGGTAGAGTATTGCAAGACAGGAGGATTTCTTTGGTAACAAAGAAAAGAAAACTGAACTGTTACGTGACATCTGTCCTTCTTTATGGCAGCAAATGTTGGACGATTTCCTCAAAGATGAAGAAGAGACTTGAGGCGACAGAGATGTGGTTCTACAGAAGGATGCTAAGGATATCATGGACCGAGCATGTGAGGTCTTAGTGAAGATGCAAACAAGGAGGAGGCTTATACTTAACATTGGGAAGAGGCAGCTGGTTTCTGGGACACATAATGAGGAAGGAGGGCCTGGAGAATCTGATACTCACGGGTCGAATAGAGGGAAAGAGAGACAAGGGAAAAAAACAACGCGACACATACCTGGCGGGCTTAAGCAAGTGGATGACAGAACGTGGTCTGGGGGGAGGAAGCAGAGGGAAGGAACTTGTTGAGAGCTGCAAGGGATAGAGGGAGGTGGAGAGCCATGATCGCCTACGTCCTGAAAGGACATGGCACATAAAAAAAAAAGATTAGCGTTTACTGAAAAAAAATTACTGGAATGCAAACCAGAATCTGATGGACCATTTTTACTGTCTGTAAAATTTATTTATTCTTATTTTTTGAAAATTTGTAAAACTTATTTTAATTAGAATTACTTATTGATCCAAATACCTTAAAATGAAAAAAATTTTTTGTTTAGATTTACTGATTTTTCTTTTCCTTCTATAAAATGGTTCTTAAGATTTCTCTAAAAATGTGAAAAACCAGTTGTTATTCTTTAATTGTTCAACAATTAAAAAAAGAAAAATTCTGTATAAAAAGTTTAAAAACTAACTTTGAAAATGTAAAAATTTTCATGGTATTGAATCATATTGGGAATGATTTCTCTTTAAGGCTTTTTAAGGAATTTAAAAGAAATTTTTTAAATTTTATTTTTTTAATATTTGGAAATCTATATTATTTTATTTGTTTACAGAACTCATGTTTTTTCATAATATATGCAAAAACATTTATTTCAGATTATACAATGAGAAATTAAAAAAACTCATTTTTTTTCAATCAATTAAATTTTATATCAGTTCTGGATTTTTGATTTTTAAATACTCTTTTTTATTTTTTTTCCTTGTTTTTTTTTGTTAAGAAGAATTTTATTCTGAAAAAATTTTTTAAAAAGAAAAAGATAATTTTTGAAATTAACTTCAAATGAGATGTTTTTTAAAAGCATTATTTAATGTAAATCAAAGAACAAAAGAAAAAAGTTATATTTAAATAACTTAAATTAAATCAAATTCATTTGAAAGGGATCAAAAATCGTGTTTATTTATCACATATTCCCCAATAAAATTTTTTAAACATATGTTTTTTCAAATTTAAGATTTCTTGCAGTTTTTGGAAATGAAATGCCTATTCGATAAATCTTCAAAATTCTTGTTTCATCTCAGGTTATTGATATATCATTTTTAAAGATTTTGGTAAATCAGGTTCTAAATATTAAAGAACTAATTATAATATTTTAAACTTATTTTTTATTATTTTCTATTTTTATTTATTTTTTTTTTTAAAGTTTTAATATTGTTTTTTTATATAATGATATTTATTAAATATCATTTTATATTATATAAAAAAAATAATTTAATTTTAATTTTATTGGTTCATTCTGTTCAGAATGAAAATAATTTGTTGGGACAACAAAAATAAGAAACATTAAATTATTTATTTCAAAAATCAGTTTTAATTGCCTAAAACTGAAAAAAAAAATATATTTATTGTAATTTTTATATTTAAAAGAAATTGTTCGGAAAACTGTTTATCAGGATGTACTTATATTTATTTAACATACATTTCAAACAAAAAAATTTTTTTTTTTTATTGCTAAATCCTTATATTTAAATTTTACATTTTTTAATTTAATATGAACAAATAAATGTTGTGATTATAATATAATTAAATGTATAAATGTTTATATTTACATTCAATATAAATAAATAAATATTTATTTTTTTATTTAATATAAAATAATTTTATTTAAATTTGAATCTTTTTGATAAATAAATTTTTAATTTCAATTTTCAATAATATTTCAGCTGAGTAAAAAATTGTGTCTGATTTTTTAGAATTATCTTTTTCTGTTCTAATGGGCTTAAACTTTGAAAAAATCCATCTAAATATATGCGATAACTTCTGAATTTATATTTTTTTTAAATGTTGGAATCTTTACAAAATTGAAAATTTTTATAAATATTAATAAAAATTTAACAACCAATTTTTTTTTTCTTATAAACAAGATTAATGTTAAAAAAAAAAATCAAGAAAATATAAGTAGATAATAAATAACCTCATTGAAAATTTGGATATGTATTTAAATTAACCAGTCAATTAATAAATCAAACTAAAAAGTTTTCTTTTAATAAACAATTTTTTTTTTTCAACATCACAACTATAACTTTTTACATTCATTCATCAAAAAAGCCATTTACAGTTTAATTTATTTTTTAAAATTTCATTGGATAGTAATTAAATATTGGAAAATGTCTTTTTAAATTGTTGATTTAGAACATTTTTAATTGTATATTTTACAAACATATGTTTCTTCTTCTTGACCTTTTATATTCCATAGTTCCAAAAAATAAAATTACACTACTGATTAATTTTCTCAAATAATTACAAAAACAATTCAAATTCAAAAAAAAAAAAAATCCTTGAATAACTATATTTAATTAAAAAAACATGTATTTAATTTTTAAATCTGGAATATATAACTTTTCTGTAATAACCAATTATAACAAATTTTTTTTCATCTGAAAAGATACATGATTATTTAAATTTATAACAAAATTCATCATTTTTCATAATTTTAACAGTAATTTTGTTTTTTCATTGAATATTTTTCTGAATAAATAAAATTAATTCATTTATATTTCATCTTCAAAAATGAGATAAATCCATGTAATTTAATTATTATTGGATTTTAACATAACTACCAATATTATGATATTTCATTCTATAATATTGGAATATTAAATGTTGATAATAAATTTAATTAATTTGAATGCTCTGAACAAATATTTACAAGAAGATGTTTTGTATTTATACCTGAATGTTATATATTCATTTTTCATTTAATATTTTTGGAATTTAAATTAAATTGAATTTTTTATGTTCAAAATGCAGAATGTATCTTTCAGGCTTCAATTATAATAAATGTTTGTATATTACCAGTTTTTTTTTAAAATTCCAACTGTGATTTTTTAAAAAATTTATTTAAATAACTGTTTAAAATAAAAAACAATGAAACTTTAATTTCACAGTGTTTTCAACTTCAAAAAAGGAGAATATCTGTAAATTTATGTTTTGAATTTTACAAATATATAAATGAATTATATATTAATCACATATTAACAATACATTCATTATATTATTTTGATCCTATTTAAAGATCCTGGGAATATTTATCCCAAACAATTAAATGACTCAATATAAGTCCAGGTGAAAATGCAATTTTTCAAAACAATAAATATAAAATTAACGACAATGCAATCTATTAATAAAAAACTGACATCGTTATAACAATGCTTTGTTGAGGGTTGTGTGTTATAACAAATGTGAACTCAATATTTCTGTTTAATTATGACATTTTTCCAAAGTTTAAAAATGGAAATAAATCTTTTTAATTCATAAACTTAAATCCAGGAAATGTTTCTATCTTTGAAAATTTTTAATAGAATTTGACTAAATATAAAAAATTAAAATTAATATTTTCCAAAAATTATTTTAAATTTGCTTATTAAAATTTTTTTATGAACTCAGTTTTTTTAAACTGCTATACTCCAAACAATTATTTAATTAAATTTTGAATGCAAGAACGAAAACTTTTTATGTTGATTCAAAAAAAAAAAATTTTTAAAATAAAATTTAACGATTAAGTTTAATATTTTTTCAAAAATGATAAATATACAAGATGGAACTTTTCATTGACCAGATTCAAACAAAATGCCAATTGAATTTACCTATATGTATATAAAAAATATCTTTGGAATGTAAAAATTGAAAATTAAATCTTCAAACGTTTACCATATTTTTGTAAGAAAAAATTTTTTTTCTTCAAAATAAAAAAACAAAACACGTTTAGAAAATAGGTTCTTATTGTTTGTCTAAATTTTTGAGATACAGAAAATTTTATATATATTATTTATATTATTCGGAATTGAATCTTTTTATGAATATTTATTATAACATGACAATTTGGCACAGTGGATAAAAAAAAAAATAGGTTTAATATGATTTACACCCAAAAGAGTTTGAGTTCAATACCCGGTTTAGGCAGTGGAGAACTTTCAGAGGGAATTTTAACAGGAGATAACTGATAACTGACATCCATTAAATATGGCACGTGGAACTTGAAACAGTCTACCCCAGTGAGCGAATATAAAGGGTTCAGTTTGACATTCCAATTTCTAAAGAAGAAGGCCGGATGCGTTTTACGGCCGAGAGTTATTCATAAGTATGGCCACAAAGATGTCATTAGTTCTGTAAATAATGTCCGTAAATTACGAATTTTCTCTTTTGATATATTAAACTCTTCTACGATCCATAAAAAATAAATTATGGAAACCAAAACATTATTCTGATTTTTTCCTTATTAAATAATGAGATCCTTTTAAAAAAAAAAAAATCAAAATTTTTTCGTTTGGGAATATCTTTTTCTTTCTATCTTTATCAATCGCAAATATCTATCTAAAATATCGATTATTGTAATGGTGACAATCTATTTATCCCTGATGATAACTAAAATTATATCATTCCCGGAAGTCTAAATATAAATCACAATTAAAATATCATATCGTCTTGAACTTCTTTGAATCTTTCTATCTGGAAACATTGTTTCCCAATGGCATATTCTTCCCTTTTCTCAATTTATCTATCTATTCTCTAATCTATCTATCTTAATATTATTTATTTCTATCTATCTATCTATCTGTCTATCTATCTATCTATTTAAATTCTATCTATTTATAGCAGGTTTATCTATTGCTTTTCTATCTGTCTATATCTAAGTCTGTCTTTTAATGTCTATCTAATAGCTATTCTCTACTAAGTCTGTCTATCTATCTATCTATATATCTATCTACTCAAGTCTGTCTGTCTATCTATCTTTACCCAAGTCCCTCTGTCTGTCTGTCTGTCTGTTCATTCATCCATCCCCAAATATTTTTATTTATCTATGCTATATATATATTAAATTATCTATCTCTTTTTCAAAACGCTTTATCTATCTATCTATCATCGTGGTAATATTAATTTATATCGGAAACGATATAATGAATATAATAAAAGTCTTATCTTTCATTGATTTTGCAAAAAATAATTCAATATCAAAACATAAAAAGTAATAAAAATAAACAGTTTATTAACACAAAAACAAAAATTATGTAACGTTAATCTTTACAAATGATTCCTTACCATGTCCTGTACACTGGCCGCTTACCGGTAGCTGATGGTTTGCATACCGGCACCGGTCCGCGGACCACCACTTTGAGTAGCATTGGCCTAGATGACAGCCTTATTCTGTGGATGCACACATTCTACCAACTCAATGGATTCAAGACCGTAGCAGCATCAATAATAATATCCACTTCTCAATGGAATACAGTGAAGACCAACTTCCATTCCTGGACATTTTAATCATAAAAAAGAAACACACACTGAGCCAATTTATTTTTGCCCAAACAATACCACGGACGAAACACGAATAAATAAAGAAAATATAATCATAGAAAATATACAAACCCTATCTGAACAAACTGTAAATTCACCACATAACAACAGATTCTAAAAAAATACTTGTTATTTACCTTAAGCCATCCACAGACACACAAAAATGAATATTCCATTTAATCTAGTTAGATTTTTCACAATTGTCTGAAATTATGAAACATGGAATAAAAAAACTCCAAGAATTAAAAGAAATTCTACTCAAAAGACAGAATCCATCGTTATTAATTGATAACGGAATAGAACGCGCCAAAGCAATAGATATCCAGGAATTAAGAAAAACAAATATTCTATCCTACATATACAACCCAAGAAATACACAAGCATACAACATTATCAACAAGGACATCCCATTATTGAAACAAGACTCAAGAATGAAAAAAGACACTCGAAGCACATAAAATAATCAAAAACAAAAGACAACCAAAATCCCTAAAAAAAACCCTACTCACCAGTGCCAAATTACCCGCCACAAACCCAACACAAACTGTTAAAAGGTGTGGTCACCCTAATGGCAGAACTTTCATCAACCTCATTGAAGACACAATTTATAAATTTAAATCAGGACTAATTAACTTTGTAAAAAATCATTTCACCTCTTCATCAAATAATCTGATATATGCTATTAAATATAAAGGATGTAATGAAGATTACATCGGGCAAACCAAACTCCTCCCCACCTCTCCATACAGAAAAAGAACAACAATTCATCCCCCAAAAATACAAGATCCAGTCACAAGACAGATACCACTCGGTGGGAATTTAGACTTATGTACAACAAAAAAGTCCCCTAAATTCAAAGTCTTCCCACTTCATCTTTGTTCAGACAACACCGCAGACGAAACACGAATAAATAAAGAAAATATATTAATTCGGAAATACAAACAATATCTGAGCAGGTACATTTGCTAAGGACTAAACACATACGCACACAAGCACGCACACAAGCACGCACATACGCACACAAGCACGCACATACACACAATACGCACACACGCACACATTTACGCACAAAGCACGCACATACACACACAATTTTAAATATACAAGCACAAATACGCACACAAGCACACATACGCACAAAGCATATATATGCACGCATACGCACACAAGCACGCACATACGCACACACGTAACAGCCTCGTTCGTTTTACTAATTATTATCATATAATGATTATCAACCGAACCAAAAACGTCTCACTGCGAGAGAAGCATTTTACTTAAAACATCTTGCACCCGGTATTCATTTCATCTTATTTAACAACGGCAATAATGTTTTAAAAGATTTTTTTAGGTAGAATGACGCCAACTCGAATTCCAGTCACATTCCCTTCGCGGGGCTCGGAATAAACGCTATACTATATAGGCATCACATAACTCCATCTTAAAAAGAGAAACGTGAAAAGAAATTAACAACACTTACAAAACCTTAAAAGGTTTTGTAAGTGTTGTTAATTTCTAAAGAAGTTGCTGAAAGCAATTGTATCAATAGACACTACGAAAAATTTTTACGCTCTCTTGCACCCACCAAACTCGAGAATTTAAGAATACTAGAAAAACTCAATGAAAGATTAATCATATTTTCCTAGTTTGACATAATTAACAAAACATATTTGAAGGAAACGATTACACACACACACACACACATACATACATATATATAAACAGAGAGAGGGAGGGAGAGAGATGTTTCGTTGAATTTTAGACAGAGAAAATCGCCGTTGATACATATTTCTTTTATTCAAAGCACGTTCGACATGGCACAATGTCATCATCAAGACAAATATTCTATTGTTCATTATGGTGAAAGACAAAATTGTTGCGTTCATCTGAAAGTTAAATTTCTTACATGTGGAATGAAAAACGCTGAGCCAGTGCGTGATCGCTGACACCGTTAAAGGGGAAGTAACTAAGTATGTTTGTGGAGAAGTTTTTTTTACGAACACAACGATTTTCTCTCGTCTTTCAATAACGACATCAAAAAGCTTATCCGTGAATATGAAAGGATACAATTAAAAATAAGTAGACAGAACATGTCTAAATTAAAAAAATATATATACGCATATGTGTGTGTGCGTGCGTGCATGCGTGTGAGTGAGTGTGCATATATGTGCGTGTGCATGTGTGTGTGTATGTATGAATGCCTAGGTGAAGAAGAGAAATACATTGAAAAAACATTTAAATTTCTTCCCTACCCACATCATTTCACCCTCAATGCTAGAAAATGAGGATACAAAGTCCACAAATCCCCAAAACTAGACACAACCGATAGCACTTCTAACATCAAGAACGCAAAACTCATAACCCTACCATCTAACACTATCTAAAAAAGTTGAAAATAAAATAAATACCCTTAATATTATGATCTTTACCATCACCCACAAGGCAGTCAGATATAATTAAGAAGAAAAATAAACCCAAAACCAATTCAGATGCAATGTTTATCAAATAAATCGTTTACGATATAAAAGCACTTATACTGGCGAGACATCTCAGAATATAAAAGCCGATATCTATAAACATAAAAGGGATTTGCATATGAACAACCATTCTCTGATAAAACTTTAATAAAAGTGAAACGTTAAATTGATGAACGTTTCCTATTTTTTCTTTATCTTATATATATATAAATATATATATATATATATATATATATATATATATATATATATATATATATATATTTTTTTTGGGTCAAATATATATATATATATATATATATAATTATTTATTCGAAAATTATAACATAAACATGTTATAAAAATCACTAAAAAATAGCCATTTTGTTTCAATATATATATAAAAAATCTTTCACTTCAAAATGAATACCGACCCTTTTTTGTTATCAAAAGTTCTATTTCACTTCAGGTGGACCCTTTTTTGTGGCATTATCACATTGTTTCGAACTGGTGCTTCTTAATCTGTGACCTTCTACTTGAAATGGCTCTTGAGCCCTGTACATAGCAAAAATCAGTGTAATACATACATACATATATATATAATTATTTATTTAAAAATTATAACATAAATATGTTATAAGATCACTACAAAAATAGCCATTGACATTCAACACCATCACTTGATAAGACACCGGAGGTGTTGAAACAAAATAGCTATTTTTGTAGTGATTTTATAACATATTTATGCTAAAATTTTTAAATAAATAATTACATCTGCTCTACTCTGTATTGAGCACTCTTTTAAGAATAGTAATTGTTGTTTATTGGAATTTATTCCGTATACACCAATCATATACTTGGGTATATATATATATATATATATATATATATATATATATATAAGTACACATTTATATATACATTTTATTCATATTTTTGCACAACGATTTAAACAGTGTGGACGCAGGAATCAACACTGTGTGATGACGGGCTGGTCACATAGAAGAAACTGACAAAATGATTCTACTCCTTAATGGGCTATATAAAAAAGAGTTTCAGCGTGTGGAAGGTGGAAGAAAAACAACCATCATTTTTTTTTTTTTTTTTTTTAGGGCTGGCATTCCTGGTTATTTACCTTCATAAACTTCGGTCTGTTTATTTATGCTGATTGGGCAGATGGAGAGAGTGCGTCTGTAAAGGTTACAAGTCTGTTTATTGTCACTACTCTACAGACTGCGCACACATACACACACGCACATGTATATATATAACTTCCGTCTCTTTTTCAGTTTTTTTTCCTCGGTCGATAGCTCTGCCAGCTTTATTAAGTAATACTGATCTTACGGATCATCCAGCTTTTTTACTCCTAAGTTGGGACCAGTGTGTCGTTTCGATAAGGTTGATTCGGGTTTTCCAAAATCTTAATTGGGATTGACGGTGAAGCCTAGTGGTGGGCCGATTATGTATGTTCTGAACCGCAAACAAGATCGCGTAATTCCTGTCCAAGTACAGCGTTGGCAATCAGCGCTTGAATAAGAATTCCTTCGATAAGTTACGCAACACTCTTGGTAACACTAACAACGGGTTTATTGAATGTAAAAATAAAATAATAAACTGGTAAATAAAATGTCTCTACCTCAAAATCAATTTATCCTATTTTTGCCGAATGGTAATTTGAGAATCTATCAGTAATTGTTATAAGATAGTGAAAGGAAGTGTCTGTCATGCGTGTGTCTGTGTATCCATGATGTATGTTAGATATAATATATATATATATATATATATATATATATATTCAAACAAAATTTTATTAAATTTATTAAACAATGTCTGTAAATTATTTGTTGTTTTTCCAATTCTCCCCACAAAAAAAATTCATTAAACAGTCTGACTTTGTAAGTTGAATTTAAGAAAACTTGTTTGGATGTCTACTTGATGTGGAAATATATATATATATATATATATATATATATATATATATATATATATATATATTATTTTTTTATTATTTTATATGTATTTTTTTTCTATCTTGTTTACATACAGGAAAAGTTTGTTTGGTTTAAGCAACTATCGATTTGGCTTGAATGTTTGGAATTTAAGCCTTTCAAACATATTTGT